TATTTATGTCAGAAATTGAAGTACAATTTTCCAAACTGAAGACAAGACGAGAATGTTCAAACATCAACAAAGACAACATGTCTAGAAAACTGGAAGTCAAATGTAACAATCGAAAAAAAGAGAAAAAGAAAGAAAAAAAAATTAGAAGCGCGTATAAAGGAAAAAAAAAACGAAGAAAAAGACAAATAATCCCGACACATACGTACATACGCCCATACGGGCACATTGGTGTACTCGGGTGAATGCACATACGCACACACTATGATAAAAAAAAAAATTGTTCAATGAAAAATGAAAAGTGCATATAAACAAAGAAAAATCGAGAAGTCTGGAGTCTGGATGCTGAAGGTAACATCAATTAGCTAAATGACAAATCATTTATTTGTACTTTTACTGTCAGTACCTAGATTGGGAATGCCAAGTATTGTAAGCTTGGGTGTGCAGGTGGTGCAATGGATAATGGCTCGGAATTGTTAATCAGATATCTGAGTTCCAGTTCTGTTTGGGTTCGTTATATTCACTTACGCACAAATACCTTTTGGAAAGGCATGAATCCACCTCTTCCTCGCCAGTTACGGGTTAATTAGTAAGAAGTATATATTAGCTTGGTGCAAAAGTAATGACGTAATAATGTCGTTTTTTGACGTTAAAAAATACGTCAAAAAACGACATTATTAAGTTTATATATTTTGGGGAGGGGTAGATATAATGGTTTTAGTAATACAAGTCTTACTAATTAGCCCGTAACTGTATATATATACACCTCTTCCTTATGGGTTAATATATATATATATATATATATTTATTCATATATCGTCCGTCTTGAGATACGATGGCGTAGGGCGGTGCGCTACGAGCCTGGACAGGATATATGGAGAACTAGGGATGCCCAGACGTCTAGTTCCCCATCTCGGCCTTGCTAGCAGAGTCCAAAGGAGAGGATAAACCAATACAGTTTGGTACCAGCGCGGCTGCAGGAGTTGCCAGAAGGTAGCACAAAGTGCCGTCTATCCACTCCGGGTTTGAAATCAGAGTTGTCCTTCCCCTAGACCAGTTGCCATCCAAGGCTATAGAACCCAGTCTGTCCTACTATTTAGCCCTAGCTGGAGGGAGAAGAAGAGGATTCACACCCTTCCCAAGGGTATTAGCACGTAAATGGATGTAATTCGACTGGAATTCGAACTCGGCTCTCCGAATCCTCAATGCAAGCCGCTATCCACCACTCCACCGTGCCTGGCTTTCTTTCTTTCTTTCTTTCTTTCTTTCTTTCTTTCTTTCTTTATATATATATATTCTTCTTCTTCCACATATTCTCAAAGATTTGCCCTATCTCTCTCTCTTTCTGTCTGTCTCTCTCTTTCTCTGTCTATATATATCATTTTCTTTTTATTTAATAAAAAAGTCACGAATTATTACAGAAGGGGTAAAAAGAAGAAATGAGATAAGATAAACGAAAGTGAAAACGATATATATATATATATATATATATATATATATATAAAAGAAATGAGATAAGATAAGCGCAATATACATATATATATATATATATATATATATATATATATATATATATATATATGAATAAATATAAAAGCCTGGAGTGGTGGATAGCGGCTTGCATTGAGTGGTTAATACACACACACACACACACACATATATATATATATATATAATATATATATCAGTTTGTCTAATGATCGCAAAAGGTGAAACTCTGGGTTACAAACCCATACCCATACAATTGAATATATATATATATATATATATATATATATATATATATATATATATATATAAGAAGAAAAGAAGAAAGAATTGAAAAGAAGATAAAAATGAGGATATAGAAGGAAAAGACGAAGAAGGATAGAAAGAAATGCTTTTGAACAGGCAAGACAAAAAGAGAGAAATAAAAGAAAACGTCGTGAAAGAAGGAGAGAATATAATGAAGGTGGAAAGAAGAAGAAGAAGAAAACGAAAAGAAGACGAAAGCAAGAAGAAGAAGAAGAAGCAAGAAGAAGAAGAAGAAGAAGCAAGAAGAAGAAGAAGAAGCAAGAAGAAAGCATAAAGAACGATAGATTATAAAAGAAAGAGCAAAGAAGGAGAAAAGATACGAATTCAGCAAGATGGGAGACAAGAAATTATGCTAACAATCTATATAATAACTGTGTTTGTCCCTCTCTTCGTTAGTTCGTGCCTAAGTTCGCACGACCGTTACGCCCTGCCAATAACTTATAAATAATAGACTATTCTGTTTTGATCGCGTGGAAAGAGGGGAAAAGACATTACTTGGTTCCAGTAAGAAAATGAATGAAAGAAAGAAAGAAAGAAAGAAAGAAAGAAGAGACGATAAAATTGTTTAGCATCTCTTGTTGATACCTCATAAATAAGGGATTTTGATCGCGTGGAAAGAGGGGGAAAAGACACTACAAGGTTTTCGATAAGAATACTTCTATTAATTAATCATTAGCTGGAGGAAAAATTCCTACATTTCCCAAGAGTATTTGCAAGTGAATATAAAGAACTTGACTGGAATTGGAACCACGACTCTTCGATTTCTAACTTTGAACCGTTATTCATTTCAGCACCGGCACATACAAGCCTACAGCACCTGGTATACCAAGCAGTCAGCTATTTAGGCATTGACCAGATCCGACGTTGCTTAACTTCGGTGCTTGTACGAGAACCTGTGTTTTAACGTGAAAAGGCCGTAAGTCGTACCACCCGCATATCCAAGTTTACAATACCTGGTATTCCCAAGTGGTCACCCATCTAGCTACAGGCCAAGCCCGACGTGGCTTAACTTCGGTGATGGTACTAGAACCAGTGTTTCAACATGATATGGCCGTAAGCCACACCATCCGCACGTAAAAGCTTACAATATCTGGTATTTCCAAGCTGTCACCTATCTAGGCACTGGCCAAACTGTCACCCATCTAGGCACTGGCCAAGCTCGAAGTTGCTTAACTTCAGTAATTGTACAAGAACAAGTGTTTTAACATGATATAGCCGTAAGCCACACGAGCCGTACATAAAAAGTTACAGCTCCTGGTATTCTCAAACGGTTACCCATCTAGGCATAGACCAGGTTCAAAGTGGCTTAACTTAGGTGATTGAAACTGATATGGCCGTAAGCCATACTGCACGCATATCCAGGTTTCAGTGCCTGGTATTCCCGAGCGGACATCCATCTACATCCAGACCAGGCTGGACGTGGCTTAACTTCCGAAGTTAAGCAGCGTGATTGTACGAGAATAGAAGAAGAAGGAAAAGAAGACGACCAAGAAAAAAATGAAGAAGACGAAGAAGAAAAGAAAAAGAAAAAGAAGACCAAGAAGAAAAGGAAGAGGAAGAAAAGAAAAAGAAAAAGAAGACGAAGAAGAAGGAAAAGAAGACCAAAAAGAAAAGGAAGAAGAAGAAGAAGAAAAGAAAATGTAAAAGAAAACGAAGAAGAAGGAAAAGAAGAGGACCAAGAAGAAAAGTAAGAAGACGAAGAAGAAAAGAAAAAAGAAGAAGACGAAGAAGAAGAAGAAGAAGAAGGAAAAGAAGAGGACCAAGAAGAAAAGTAAGAAGACGAAGAAGAAAAGGAAGAAGAAAAGGAAGAAGAGGAAGAAGAAGGAAAAGAAGACCAAGAGGAAAAGGAAGAAGAAGAAGAAAAAAAAAGAAGAAAAGGAAGAAGAAGAAGAAAAAAATGAAAAGAAGAAGAAGAAGAAGGAAAAGAAGAGGACAAAGAAGAAAAGGAAGAAGACGAAAAAGAAAAAAAAAAAGAAGAAGAAGAAGAAGAAGAAGAAGAAGAAGGAAAAGAAGAGGACCAAGAAGAAAAGGAAGAAGACGAAGAAGAAAAGGAAGAAGAAGAAGAAGAAGAAAAAGAAGACCAAAAGGAAAAGGAAGAAGAAGAAAAAGAAAAGAAGAAAAGGAAGAAGAAAAGAAAATGAAAAAGAAGACGAAGAAGAAGGAAAAGAAGAGGACCAAGAAGAAAAGGAAGAAGACGAAAAAAAAAGAAAAAGAAGAAGAAGAAGAAGAAGAGGACCAAGAAGAAAAGTAAGAAGACGAAGAAGAAAAGGAAGAAGAAAAGGAAGAAGAGGAAGAAGAAGGAAAAGAAGACCAAGAGGAAAAGGAAGAAGAAGAAGAAAGAAAAGAAGAAAAGGAAGAAGAAGAAGAAAAGAAAATGAAAAAGAAGACGAAGAAGAAGGAAAAGAAGAGGACCAAGAAGAAAAGGAAGAAGACGAAAAAGAAAAGAAAAAAGAAGAAGACGAAGAAGAAGAAGAAGAAGAAGAAGAAGGAAAAGAAGAGGACCAAGAAGAAAAGGAAGAAGACGAAGAAGAAAAGGAAGAAGAAGAAGAAGAAGGAAAAGAAGACCAAAAGGAAAAGGAAGAAGAAGAAGAAAGAAAAGAAGAAAAGGAAGAAGAAAAGAAAATGAAAAAGAAGACGAAGAAGAAGGAAAAGAAGAGGACCAAGAAGAAAAGGAATAAGACGAAGAAGAAAAGGAAGAAGAGGAAGAAGAAGGAAAAGAAGACCAAAAGGAAAAGGAAGAAGAAGAAGAAAGAAAAGAAGAAAAGGAAGAAGAAGAAGAAAAGAAAATGAAAAAGAAGACGAAGAAGAAGGAAAAGAAGAGGACCAAGAAGAAAGAAAAAAAGACCAAGAGGAAAAGGAAGAAGAAGAAGAAAAAAAGGAAGAAAAGAAAATGAAAAAGAAGACGAAAAAGAAGGAAGAGGACCAAGAAGAAAAAGAAGAAGACGAAAAAGAAAAGAAAAATAAAAAGTAGGTGAAGAAGAAGGAAAAGACGAGGAAAGATGGAAATTGTTAGAGGAATGGTGTCGCAGAAAAGAAACATTTGGAATAAAAGCTGAAGTGGATTATGATGGAAAACAATAAAAAAGGAGAGACGAATGAATTAGTGGCAGAATAAAAAACACATTTAAAAAGTTGGGGGTTTTTTTTTCGACACGAAAAGAAAATTATAAAATATATAAAAAAAAAAGGATAAAAAAAATAAAGAAAATACATAATAAAAAGGCGTAAAAAAAAAACAAAAAAAAAACAAACAAAACAAACAAAACAAACAAAAACCTACAAAAACCCCCCAAAAATGTTTCATCGATTTTCTCAAGTCTCGGCAAAAAAAAACAGGAAAATAAAAATTTCCCAAGACGAAACGCATAAAATTTCGGGTCGAACAAAAATAAAAGAAAATAAATAAAACTTTCAAGAACAGAAGAACAAAACCCCCCAAAAAACAAACAAACAAAAACAACAAAAAACAAACAAAAAAAAAACTGGAAAAAACCCCCAAAAACAAAGCAAAAAGCAAAACGAATGGATACAAAAAAGAAAGAAAAAGAAAGAAAGAAATGCTTCTTTGAAATTGAATGATCGGTTGATCTGCCTAAAGAGATCGAAGTCTAATTAATTGTCAACAAAATTGATTATTTCTTCAATTAATTTCTTTCATTCTCTGGCAAGTTCGCTTCAATAATGACTGACAGATCGGATAGAATTGCAGACAGACGGACAAAGCGCCAAATAAGAGACTGGACAGAAAACAACGCTTATGGACAAACAAAAATCTTATCTTTGTTCAACGGAAAAAAAAAGGAACGAGTTCATGCCTTCTTTTTTCCTTTCTCGTACTTACAATCTAAAGTACGGCACTTTTAAGTTCATCCAGTCATTTCTAAGTTTTCTTTCTTTCTTTCTTTCTTTCTTTCTTTCGTCTTCCTTCCGCTTTCTTTCTTATTGCTTCGCTTTCATTTTTCTTTCTTTCTTTCGTCCGTATCTATCTATCTATCTATCTATCTATCTATCTATCTATCTATCTATCACATTCTGTGCATATCTTGAGCTGATCCAGTCGTTCCCATCAAATCGTGAAAATGAAAGTTGTCCTTAACGGCCACTCATCTACATCCGTTCGTAGTAATGCTGGTGTCCCCTTCCCACCAAGGCTCCATCTTTGTCTGACGACACTACCATTCAGTCCTGCCACGATAGTAAGGCTGATCAAGCAGACAAGGTCAAAATAGTTGCTGGTTTCCAAAATGACCTCAAGACCATTGTTAACTGGGGCAAAAGATGTTTTTTTTTTCAGTTTTAACGTCTCCAAAATTAAATTCCTCTCCGTTAATCATCAGAGGGGCCCCTCTCTGCTTTCCATCAGTATGGCTGGAAAGTGACTCGTTACGCCTTCTTCGGCTAACGTTCTCAGCTGACATGGCGTTAAAAGACGGTATTGAATCTATTGCTAGGTCAGCTTCTAAGAAGGTAGGTTCACTGTGTCAGACGAGACAATTTTTTCTCGGGAGTCTATCTTGTATATCTATAAGGCTACCATTCGTCCATGCTTAGAATATTGCTGCTACATATGTTCCGGTGCCCTTGTTATTCATCTGGAGCTCCTTGATAAGGTACAAAGAAGAATCAGCAATATTATTAGTCCTGATCTGGCAGATCGGTTTCAGTCACTTGCACACCGCAGTAAAGCTTCCTCTCTGTGCCTTTTTTTTATAAATACTTTCATGGTAATTCTTCGGAATAGCTCTTCGCTACGGTACCTAGACTGTATGAATTTTAGCGCAATCCCAGACTGGCGGTGGGATCTCATCAGTTTAGAGTTGAGCTGGCTAGATGTGACCGCAACTTCTATGCTTGCGGTTGCTTAACTCGCACTTCTTGCTTGTGGAACTCCCTCCACAGCCGCACGCTTTCCAGCCAACTTTAATCTGGAAAAATTTAAATGCAATGTCAATCGCTATCTGTGGTCCTCCTGATTTCTCTTTTCTTTTTCTCCTCATTACTAATGTTTCTGTTCCTAATTCCCCCACAACCTGTAACGCCTTGTGTACTGGTGGCTGTACTGCCTTGCTTGGGGTGATACCAGTTTAAAAATCTATCTATCTATCTATCTATCTATCTATCTATCTATCTATCTATCTATCTATCTCAGTCTGTTCGTATTTATCTATATCTTTCTGTCTCAGGCTATCCGTATCTATCTATCTATCTATCTATCTATCTATCTATCTATCTATCTATCTATCTATCTATCTATCTATCACAGTCTATTCATATCTATGTATGTATCCGTCTATCTATTCATATCAATCTATCTATCTATCTATCTATCTATCTATCTATCTATCTATCTATCTATCTATCTATCATTGTCTCTTCGTATCTATCTATCTATCTACCTATCTATCTATCACAGTCTATTCATATCTAAGTATGTATGTATGTATCCATCTATCTATTCATATCAAAGTATCTATCTATCTATCTATCTATCTATCTATCTATCTATCTATCTATCATAGTCTCTTCGTATCTATCTATCTATCTATCTATCTATCTATCTATCTATCTATCTATCTGTTCATTGTACTTATTCTATTCATTTATTCTACAATTTTTGTTCATTTTCTTTTTCAATTTATTTTTTTAAATTTCTTCATTTCTTTTCTTTTCTGTTTATTTCTTTTATTCTTTCTTTTGTTATTGCATTAAATTCTCTTTTCTTTTTCTGCTCTTCCGTTATTCATTCTTATTTTTCCTTTTATTTCATTAACCCTTTTTTTGTTAATTTAATTCATTATTCTTTTCCATTTCTTTTCTTTTCTTTTTCTTTTATTTCATTCTTTTCTTCATTCCTTATTTTCTCTTCATTTTAATCAATCTTTCGTTTGTGTTTATTTCATTCATTCCTTCTTTATTTCTGCTTCTTTCGTTTTCTTTCTTTCGTTTTTTATTAATTTATTTACTAAATTCATTCATTTTTTTCTTTATATTTCATTCATTGTCTCTTTCTTTTTCTCTTTAATACATTTCTTCTCATTTCTCTCCCTTTCTTATTTCCTCCATTTTTCATTCTCTTCTGCTTCTTCCTTGTTTTTTGTTTTTTTTGTTTTCTTATCTTTTTATTCCCTTTATTCAGTCATACTTTCTTCCTTTTAAACTCGTTTAACCTAGCGAAAATCACACGTAGATTAACCCGTGAAATTCGTTTCTTTATATTTCCATAATTCGATCTGTACAAAAAAGCTAATCAAAATACGCGAAACAAAACGCAGACAAAATATAAAATAAATTGAAATTAAGTATTTAAAAAGTGAATCGGCAAAAAACAAAAAACAAAACAATAACAAACGGGACGAGTTCTTTGTGAGCGGGAACAGTCGAGCGCCATGACACTTTTGAAAAAAAAAATGATGTCACCTTTGGCAAATGCAAAAGAGACGTGTTGAAAAATATTCATAGCACAACTAAGAAATATTTTAGAATAATTTTCTTTTTTTATTTAATAAAAGGTAACGAAATATTACAGAAGGGTAAAAAGAAGAAATGAGATAAGATAAGCGAAAGTGAAAAATATATATATATATATATATATATATATATATATATATATATATATATATATATATATATATATATATATTGCGCTTATCTTATCTCATTTCTTTATATATATATATATATATATATATATATATGTATATTGCGCTTATCTTATCTCATTTCTTTATATATATATATATATATATATATATATATATATATATATATATATATATTTTTTTCACTTTCGTTTATCTTATCTCATTTCTTCTTTTTTTACCCCTTCTGTAATATTTCGTGACCTTTTATTAAATAAAAAAGAAAATGATATATATAGACAGAGAGAAAAAGAGAGAGAGACAGACGGACAGAAAGAAAGAGAGAGAGAGAGAAAAAGAGAGAAAGACAGACGGACAGAAAGAAAGAGAGAGAGAGAGAGAAAAAGAGAGACAGACAGACAGAGAGAGAAAAAGAAAGTGAGAGAGATAGGGCAAATATTTGAGAATATGTGGAAGAAGAAGAAGAAGAAGAAGAAGAAGAAGAAGAAGAAGAAGAAGAAGAAGAGTGTTGTGAAAATCATTGGGGAGAAGAAAAAGAAGAAAGGGAGTGATTAGCAAATCCTTGAGAAGACGAAGAAAAAGGAAAGGAAGAAAGGGCGTAGTGAGAAAATCATTGGGAAGAAGAAAAGCAGAAAAATGAAAGAAACGGAGTGATAAAGAAATCCTTGAGAAGAAGAAGAAGAAGAAGAAGAAGAAGAAGAGTGAAAAATAAAGATTCCGAGAGAAAAAAAAAAAAACGACTTAAAAGAAGAATGGCAAGAAAAAAGAAAAAGAAAAGAAAAAGGAAAAGAAAAAGGAAAAGAAAACAGAATGAAGGAGCAAAATTAATCGCCAACGTGTATTAACCCAACATAACTGCCTCAACTGAAACTTGAACTCGGTTCGACAACACCATTTCCAAAACGGCTGACCATTAGACAGCATACATTCTTCTACAGCGTAACCCGGATATAAGAGAGTTGTCGGGACCGGAGAAGAAGTCTCTTATATCCGGGTTTCTCTTATATCCGGGTTTGGTCTAATTTATATACATTAACACAGGCTCTCATTTGGGACCAGAGAAAATCTCTCTTATATCCGGGTTTCTCTTATATCAGGGTCTCTTATATCCGGGTTACAGTGTATTAAGAAACCAACTGTAATGGCGGATGTATCATATTAACTCTAAATCATACTTGACGGTGTAGAACAAATTTGTAAGACATTAACTTATCTTAAGGTTTTATACGGCAGATGTTGTTCTCCTCAATGACAATACGATTTATATTTTATCTCATACTTCGTTCTTTTCTGAATATCAGCAACTATGACTCTCCACAACTTCCTCTCTGTTGGGGCACTCAATAACTTTTGAACTTTACCATTCAGTTTTATCCCTATTCTACCACTTCTGGACTTCTTTCATGTAATATGTCCTTTCAGGTAATAGGCGATCATAGCTCTCCACAACTTCCTCTCTATTGGTGCACTCAATAAATTTTGTCCCTTTACCATTCATTTTTGTCCCTATTCTGCCACTTCTGGGCTTCTTTCATGTAACATGTCCTTTCAGCTTATAGGCGATGAAGGCTCTCCACGACTTCCTCTCTATTGGTGCACTCAAATTTAGACCCTTTACCATTCGTTTTTGTCCCTATTCTGTTCCTCCTGTGCGTTTTTCGTGTCACGACCTTTCACGTTATAGATGAACATGGCTCTCCACAACTTCCTCTCTATTGGTGCACCCAATAAATTACCATTCATTTTTGTTCACATTCTGCCATATCTGGACTTCTTTTATATGACATGTCTTTTCAGATTATAGGCAATCATGGCTCTCCACAACTTCCTGTCTTTTTTACTTTGTGATTACTGAGAAGGATGCCATGGTCTTAACAATTGAGCAATGACAAAGTTTTAAAGAAAATGGAAACGAAAAGGATAGTTATATAGCACCAGAAAGAGATAGTTGAAATTTCTAGGTCACATAGTAAGGAAAGTAGGCGTGGAAAGTTTGGCACTCAGAGGATATATCGAAGGCAATAGGGACAGAAGAAAGAAGCGCATAACCTGCCATACGTGCATGCGTAAATGGTTGGCAGAACCTGGACTAAGACGGAAAATGCGGCTCCGAAATCCGAAGTCACATCGGGATAGTGAAAGATGCCTTCTAAAAACTAAGCAAAGTATAAGAAACGATCCTGTTGCCTTAAATCTCCTTCTAATATGTGATGAGATTGTTCAGCATTCACAGCCATATAGGAAGACCAATATTTCAAAATTGTTCAGTACTGTTTTCTTTGATTCTAACGAAATTTTTCTGTTTCTTAATACTGTGCTTAACTTTTGGATGGCATCTTTCGTTATCCAGGTGCGCCTTCAGATTTCGGTGTTTCAATTTCTGTCCTTTGTGAAAACACTGCCTAGATATTTAAATTCTTGTACTTTAAAAAAGATATTCAATTCACCCCAAGCAAGACGATAACGCTACTAAGACGTAAAGGGAGATACGGGGAGTGAAAAAGAAAGAAAATACTTTAGAAAGAACCAATCCTAAACAGGAAACAAGAGATAATCTACCTTGTTCAAAAGTCAGGGGTTGAATGCAAACAAAGACAATAAGTGAACCTATTTACCTGTATTGAGAAAGAAAATAGTAAATAAAATTTCAGTGTTAAGGCGGAGATGTTAGAAGTATAGAGTTGAAGTAGACTTTAGGAAGAATTGAAAAACCAGTCTTAAACAGGAAACAAGGAATTAAAACGCTACTTCTTTTCAAAAGACCGGAGAGGAGTGTGAACCGAGCGATAGGTGGACCTATTTACTTGTATCGAGAAAAAAAAAAGTAAATAACGGCGGAGACGTTAGACGTATAGATTTGAAGTAGACTTTAGATGGAATCGGAAAGCCAGTCCGAATCTGGAAACAAGGAATAAAACGCTACTCCTGTTCAAAAACTGGGGAGGAGTGTGAACCCGACAAACATATATACTCCTATTTAAAACTATCGACTCCTATTAAATTACTTGCTTGAATTTGGCATCTTTAATTTGTAATTCGCATGCTGGGTTCATTTTGTTGACAGGTACGCATTCTGTCTTCTTACAGCTGAAATTTAGTCCTTTCTTCACGCTTTCCTTTTGTAGAGGTGTCTGTAGTTTCTTTTATGTGTCTACTATCAACATCGCAATGTCTGCATATATAATGGCTGCCGATAGTATATCCTAAAATGTCTTCTCGTACTTTTAGGGTCACGTTAAAGAAATTCGGTGAGATTATGAATTAATGTCTTACGTACAGATCTTTTTGATTTTGTGTAGGATTGTGTCCACCTATTATAATTTCTGATGGGTCTAGTTTTCTTAGGACCGTCTTTCCGTATATAGTTAAGTAAATCGAGTGAGAAATATCCTTGTCTTTCTCTCGTGTGAAAACCCAATGGATACATAGAAATAAAAGTTTAATGAAGCGTGGGGTTCCTTCGAGAAGACCTGCTGTCGCTCGAAAGGTCATGACTGAATTCTCAAGTGAGGGTGAAAGTAAGGAAACGTACAATTTCAATACATGTCTATCTTTTAGACTTATCAGTGGATAGGAAACCAATTTTCGGAATTTGTTTCAGAAGCCAGAAATTGATTGTTAACTTTACGACGAGAAACAATATGCAGCTTTATTTAGAAAAAAATAAAAGAAAATAAAAGAAATGGCGGATAGCAAATAAAAAAAGTGGAAGGAGGAGGAAATGTCAAAATATTTTACGTGTTTTCTTTGAAAATTCAAATGAGATTAGTTGTAAATTCAGTAAATGTTTCTACAAAAATAAACATCAACGAAGAACCATTATTAATATTTTAAAGGTCTTTTGCATTATATATATATATATATATATATATATATATATATATATATATATATATATATATATATATATATATACTTGGGGGTTACTTCAAAATGCGCCATCTATCTATCTATCTATCTATCTATCTAATATATATTATATATATTATAAATTAACTGATTTAAAAATATGATTTCATCGCTACACAGGAATTACCATGTTTCAAAAAACAAAAAACAAAACTTTATATATATATATATATATATACTTGAGAGGTTGCTTCCCAAATA